TTTTAGAAAGGTAGTTTGCTATAAATAGTATAGCATTTTACTTGTAGCTTAGATTAGCTTATTCTTAATAAAATGATAGGCAAGATCGCCTAAATTAAAAAAAATATATATATATATATATAAATATAAATATTAATATATTTTATAAATTAAGCAATAAAGTATTTTTTAAGTTTAATTATAGCTTTAGTAAAAGAATTAAAATCATTATTAAAATTAAAAAATATTAAAAAAATCAAAGAAATTATTATTAATTTGATAGAATTAAATAAAAATGAACTATCTAAAAATATTGAAACAGAAGAAGAATCTTATAATAATTCAGATAATTTAGAATAATCATTTATAAAAAAAATAAAAACAAAACCTAAAAAAAAGAAGAGAAAATTAGATAAAAAATCAACTCTTAAAAAAAAAAAATTAAGTAAATATAATATATTCATAAAAAATAAAATGAAAAGATTAAAGAAAGATAGTATTGCATTAAACAAATTATTTTTTATAGCAGTTAGATATTAGAAAGAATCTAAAAATTAGTTTTTAAAACATTTATTATTATTTAAAAAAAATATAAATATAAAAAATTTTAAAATTATATTTTATTTATTAAAAATATATTAATAAACAAATTATTAATCATATTTCTTTAGAATTTTAAATGATAAAAAAATTTTCTTCTAAGAAGAATTTTTTGTTTTTCATTTAAAGTTTTCAGCAAACATTTTTAGTTTAAAAAAAAATAGTATAAAAAAATATTATTTATTTATATAAAAATTTATTATAAAAATAATAAAAAAATATAATATAAAAATTATTTATTATAAACTAAATAATTATATTTAGTATTGAGCTTATAGTATTTATTCCTATACTCTTCTAATTTATTATAAAGATTTTTAATATTATCATATAATAATAAGTTATTTTTTCATCTTTTGATTACTAAATTTAATCTTTCTATATCAATTTTATTTTAATTATTATTCAAATTATTTGGTTTAGTTTTCTCAATAATCTTATTTAAACTTTTTAGTTTAACTTTTGCTTTTGTTTTATTAAGTTTTTTGTAAACTTGGATCAGAGAACTTTGAAGATTATAATTTTGTTTAATTATAAAATTGATATTATCAATAATATTAGATATGTTTTTATCTTGTAAAAAAAACAATAAAAAAATATTAGTTAATAACTCAAGTATATTTAAATAATAAATTATAAAAAAACAAAAAAAAATTATAAGTTTAAATCTATAAAAAAAAAGCTAGCAACAAAAAAACTAGTTAAATTGATTAAGAACTAAGTTAATAATAAAGATTGATAAGATTTTAATGAGAGACTTGATAATATATCATCAAAGTAGTTAGAGTTTAGTGTCTTAGACTTAGCTAGTATTGTTTTTAATCATATTTTTTTTAAAAAAATATATATATAAAGAGAAAATATTAACTTTTGAGAAAAAATAGTTTTTTTATAAAAAAAAAAATTATCTTAGATTTTTGTTATTATAATTATTATGTATATAAACAAAATAATACATAAACTTAATTTATATAATAATAATACTAAATTAAAAACAAAATTTGTCAATTTCAGAAATGTAGATTAAAAAATAGATCACAAAAAAAACAAATATTATTAAAAGATTCAAATAATTTTTTATTTTGTTTTTTTTTGTTATTAAAGCCACTTTCTTAGCTGATTAGATTTTATTAGTTTGTTATTATAGAGCTATCACATGAATAGTCTTCTAAAATTTTATAGTTATATAATAAGTGTACAACAAGCTACACGTATAATTTTAGTTATTATATAATTTAAGTAGTTTGCTATACAGATGATCAATTATTAGTTGGTTCTACACTATGCTACTATACCTGCAACCTACCTGTTAGTTACCTATTTAAACACTCTGATCATTAACTCTTTCTTCTATTCCAAACTAATATCATTGCTATATCTAATTACTTAAGCCAGTCAACTTATATGCAGATCTATTTATCACATAGCTTAGATCCTCATGGGATATATATTACCTAATATATTGTGAATATACAGAGCTCCAGTTAACCTCAAAAGTAATTTTTACTGGAGTAGTTATATGCTTATTTCACAGATTCATCTGGCTTAAACTCTTGTTGATATTCATATGAACTTAGTTTCTGCTATAGCTCTCTACCAGATATAGTCTTTCAAGTTTTAACTAGATATTTCATGAGGTAGATCTTCCTAATTTAGTTAGCTACTAAGCCAAGTTAGTATTACTGCTAATACAAGGTATCAAACTGTATTACATAGCAGACTTACTTGTATATATTAATCTTATATCCTTTGTACTCAGGTTTTTCACTGAATCAAATATTAACTAGCTTAACTGTCAAAATTTGTACTACTTAATTAAACTCAGAATTTCTATTATACAGATTCTTTGCTCATAGATCCTATCAAGATTTATTTATACAATATAACTCGAATATTGTATCACACTTCTAATTTCTAATTGATATTAGTGCAATATAATTTACAAAGTTGTAATCTCTAAAATGAACAGAGTTTACTATAAGTTAGATACAAAGATCTAGATAAGTATTCAAATATGTCAACAGTAGGATTTGAACTCCAAACCTCTTGTATAGTAGTCTGATAATCTAACTACTACACTAAGATCACTAGACCATAATTTTTTATTTTGTATATTTTTGTTTTACATTATTTTATTAATAAAATTTAAATAAAAAATTTATCTTTTGTTTAAAATATCATTAAATTCTGAATACTCATTAATGATTTTATTTTTTTCTTCTGGTAATAATAATTCTTTATTAATTATTTTTTCTAACATATTGTAAAATGATTCTTTTTCTATTGAATAATTAAATCTTGCTTTGTTTGCTACAAGTAAAACAATATCATAAATATTTGATAGTTTTTGATATTTTAAATATCTTTTTTTGAAGTTTCAATTATATCTAATATTTTGTAAATAATAAGATACGAGTATAATAAAACAAAAAAAATTATTTTTAATTAATTTATTTAAATTAAAACAATTTTTTTTTATATTGAAATAAGAATAAAATCTTTCTTTTTGAATTGTTTTATCATTCACTCTAACAAGTCCTCATTTCTTTTTTCTTTCATCATAAAATATAGCAAATAATTTATTATTTTTATATTGTTGAAGTTAAAAATTATAAGTAATAGGTAAAGCATATGTTTCATAATCATATAGAGGTGAGTCAATAGAAAACAAGCAAATTGTTTTTATTGAAATTTTTTTGAAACTTTAAACAATAATAACTTAACAAAAGCTTTATCAAATTTAATAAAAATTTTTTTAAATGAATTCTATAATTTGTAATATTTATTTTAAAAAAATT